TTCAAGTTGATGACTTTAAGAATCTATATCTTATTGCTTGGTATAGCATGCTTCTATGTTGGTTAAATTGCATAGATATTGTGATTGTGTTTTGTTGTTCAAATGTAGCTTAGGGGTGATTCTGTAGATTCATTTGGAACATAGACGTTAGGTGGCATGACCCACTTTGGTTGTTTTCGCACTTTAGATTTCAAATTGGTAACTTTGAGAATCTATATCATATTGCTTTGTATAACTGCTCCTATGTGGTTTGAATTGCATGGATGATGTGATTGATGCTAGAAATGATCTAGGGTAGCTTAGAATACTCCCTGAGTCTCATCTTGACATAGACGTTAAGTGGCATGAGCCTCTTTAGCATGTTTCACCTTAAGGTGATAAAATTGTAAAACGTTATGTCGATGTATGCTCATTTCCTACAAGTAGCTTTATGTTACTCACCCCAAAGTTACTGGGGCATATTTCAGGTATAGGAATCAAGGTTGAGATTCTTGTTATGCTTGGATGATTTGGGGACTTGAAGGTTCCGTTCTTGTAAATGTTGGCTTGAAAATTCATTTGTAACCTTATTTGTCAAATGTGTATATTTGATTCCAAACTTGTATTATGTACTTAAACACTTTTTGACATTCATTCCATATATATAATTTGTGGCCAAGGGCCAAACTTTATTTGAAATCCATGAATATTTATGAATGTTAAATTTTATCTTTAATGAGAAAAGTATGAAAATTAGGGTTTTGATATGTCATTCTCACACCGGTGTGTGCATTTTGTGTAAAATTCATCCTTCAGCATTCATTTGCCATATGTGAGGTGTGGCCAAGGGCCAAACACCATTTAGTTTTCATTTTTGCATTTTAGTTCACATATTGCGTTTTTGGGCTAAAATAGTAGAAACCAAGCATTTAAGAGTTCATTTTCAAATCGGGTGATGCAAACTGTGTTCTGGCACCTCCACTAGGTCTCATTAATCATGCATGAAGTGTGGCCAAGGCCCAAACGGTAATTTGAAATCATTTGTGAATTTTAAATTTCAAATTTCCCATTTCATGTGCATTTTCGCCCTTTTGGCCGTTGGGGGGTCAAATTTTGCATCGGTGGTATTTTTAAGCCGTGGATCATTGTAGCGCGTCTTAATAGGTAAGTTACGTTTTCGTGCATGGTCGTTTCTGGGCAAACCTTCTTCTTTGGTGAAATGAGCCTCCTATGGACTCATTTTGAAATTTTCTTGCATAATCTAATTTTAGGGCATTCTGGGGTTTCTCTTCAGAAAATAAATTCCGGTTTTCACTTGGTCACTTAGAAGACGTGATTTTAGGGGGGGGGGGGGGGGTTCCTTCTTTGTGTTTTTCTAGAAAATGTCGTCTTGGTACGGGAAATCCCTCGTGAAGTTTCAGCTTCCAGTTTGCATTTTAGCAGCTTTTTGCTCCTCTTGACTAGTTCTGATCTAAGGGCATTTTGGGAATTTTGCAATGAGTTTTTTTCGTTTCCTTTCACATAACCGGGTAGAAAACTTGATTTTAGGGGGGTTTCTTCTTCGTGTTTTCCAGAAAAATTCGTTTAGGCCTCCGTTTCAAGCCTCAATTCTGGAAACTCCCATTTTTTTTCTTGCTGTCAGCATGTGCATGCCATTGGGCGCCGGTGGGCTGGCGCATGGGCACCGGGCGCGCCATGGCCTTCGTCGGGCCGCCGCGACGTCTCAACTTCAAACCCTCGTTTCTCCCTCGTTCGGACTCCAAATCGAGTAAACTTTTTTTAAAACTTGACTAATTTTTCGCTGTCTTTCCAATGGTGTGCTCGGTTGCACCTGGATCTTCCTGGATAATTACCAGTTTACCCTTTTTGCTTTAAGTGCTCGTTTTTCTTCGTCATGCCATTTCTCTTTCGTCCGGACTCCGAATCATGCGATTCTTGAGTCCATCTTGATTAGTTATACGTTGTCCTTCCAGCGGTGTGCTCGGTGGCACTCGAGTCCACAGTTTTCAGAAATGACTATTTTGCCCCTGGGGGCTTATTTGTCATATTGTCGATCTTTTGCTTCCGCATCAGTTCTCATTGAGTTCCACGACCTCATGGAAGGTCACTTTGACTTCTTAAACTCTTATTTTCTATTTTCGCTTTCGCATTCGGATCCGTTATCGGGTCAATCTTCGGTTCATCACAAGACGCACTGGCTTGAAAAACCAGGGCCGTCATAGGCATTATCCTTTTATTACTTTCTAGATCATAGTTGTATAGATGTTCATTTCATTCCTTTAGTTTATAGTTCATTGCTAGGGACTAGCAATATATAAGTTTGGGGGTGTGATGAACGTTGAAAAGTGCGTATTTAAACCCCTTATCGAGTATTCTAGAACCTTTATCTATCTTATTTTCCTATTTTAGACTAATTTCATGTTATTGCCCTTTTTAGGCGCTTATTCCCAAAATAAGTCAATTTAGCCAAATTAGATCATAAAAGAAGCAATTTCAAGCTAAATGGAAGAAAAGAGCAAAGTGGAAGCAAAGTGGTGGAAAATAGAAGTTTTGATCGATCAGACAAATCTTAAATCGATCTCACAGTGATCGATCTAACCTCACCAAGATGGATCAAACCCCTTGTCCTTCTCTTCAAGAATTTTCGTCTTCGATTGATCTAACATCCTTTCGATCGATCGAACTTCTTTGATCTTATCCCCTCCTTCCACTTTTTTCTTTTTCCTAAAATATCCCAAAAATATCTCAGATTTGTCTTATTCCAAAAAGGCGCCGCCAAGGTTTGATTGATCTGGCCATACTTCGATTGATCTGGCCATAGTTCGATCGATCTTATTAGAATTCGATCGATCGAACCTCCTCAAGCTCGAAAAAAAATAGAGTCCAGCTCATTAAAAGATGGCTTGTGGTGTAATCATTGGAGGGGCCCTAGTGTACAAGACCTGACCATTGGGTGTGACACTTGAGCTACCTATATAAGGATTTTGAGCCATTTTTACAAAAAGAGAATAGAGAAGGGAATTAAAGAAAAAATCTTAGAGAGAGAGGTTGGAGGAGTCTAGAGATTGAGAGAGATACACACCATTTGGGAATTCTTCCATTCATTTAGGGTTTTCCATCAAGAAGAAGATCATTCCTACTTGAGGGTTGGATGACTACATCAATGAGTGGCTAAACATCTTCTTAGGGCTAGAGTTAGTCCTAAGCATGCCTTGTTTTGTATTTTGAGGGGATTTGTGTTGTAATCTTGTCTTGACATTTGATTTATATATGAATCTTGTTTTCACAATGATTTATGTTATTTAATACTTCCAATTGATCATTTCATTCTACTCATATGTCTATGTATGCTAGAATAGATGTTCATGTGTTTATCTCTTGGTTTTGTGATATTGATGCATATCTATGTGTGTTGATGCTATGAATTTAGAGATTGTTAAGACATAGTGCTTTAATGGAATACTCTTGTGGCTTGTTTGATGGTTCATACTCATTTCTTGATGGATTGTGCCTCTTCCTTAGTTTAATTAGTTTAATTTTCATGTCTTTAGTTTAGTTGTAGTGTAGTTGTCTTATTTTCCTAGATGGGAGGACAATCCATGCTTGTTGTTTGATGTTTCATGCTTATGAATGTAACTAATATAATTCTTTAGCTTGTGAATGTGTTTTGATTGTAAGTTTAAAGGAAGGAATAATGGCTTAGTTTGATATATTGTGCTATTCATTAGTCATCCATGCTTGTTGATTTAATTAATCACACCTTTTAGTATTGCAACACATATTTCCCCTCATTCATTACACATTGAGTATTTAGAAAGGTGATGTTTAGTGGTGACCTCTAGATCCCAAGATCCCTCTCTCTTGTTCTCTACCCTTAATTTACTTTAATTGTTTTGTATTGAATTTATTTACATTGTAGTTTATTTAACTAATCAAACCACCTTTTGATCACTCGACCTACTAATCCGACCTTGTTTCCATTTCAAATACGCATCCGATCCCTTAGGACGATCCCTACTCACTCTAGCTATATAAGTAGTTAGAGGTAGTAGTGACACTTTATAAATTTAAACTTGGCCACACTTTTGTATGCAATTTGGATGGAACGACGACCACACACCATTGACCTTAGGTTCGATTTCCCCCTCCCCAACTAACTACTAATTACCAGGCTAAATAAAAAAGTAATAAAAAAATTTCCCCTCATCTTGTGAGGAGAGAGATAGAGAGAGAGAGAGAGAGAGAGAGATTAATTGGCATGAGTGTAGTACGTGGTCGTAATAAACGACGGGTAAAATAACTATTTTAGTTAAATGATATTTTGAAATAAATGGTATTAAAAATATTAAAGGTAAAATTATCTTTTTATAACGGTGTCAGTAATAGTAAAATTGAACATAAGTGATGGTAGTTTCGAAAAGTGTTTTAATATAATATTTGTTCAAATACGAGGAGGTGTTACTAAAATTAACCCTCATACAAGAGAAACAAAACAAATCTGGTAACATTACTATTCTTCTATACATACAAAGAGTATAAAAGTAATTGAAATTATTGAAACTCATCAAATTTATTAATTGATATTAAAAGTGAAATCCGCATAGTGTTGAAATATAGAAGTGGGATTTTTTTTTTTCCCCTTTTTATTTTTTCTTCTTATAATTAGCTAATTTTCTCAAACTACTCCAATAGAGAATGAGTGATCACATTGTATTGGATTGTGCACCATGTGAATCTCTAAGATATGAAATGAGTTCATACTTTGATTTACTGATGTGTAGATTCAAATGTAGAAGCACGGTAAATGAATCGACAAAATTCGATGTAAGAGCATCAAAATTCAAAGTTTTAACTAAATTTATTTCGATTTCAAATTCAAGCTGCCTTAAATATAGATGTTACTAAGGTGAATTTTTGCCCATATGTGCGAAAAATGATAGTTTATTCAGAACATTGTCCAGGTTTTACTCATCTTATTGCCAAACCAAATCCTAAGGTGAATTTTTCAGGAAGAACCCCAATTAAACTAAAAGAATAGACTTTTTTAATTAATTACATGCCCATTTGTCCAAAATAATGGTAAAATTTTAGGTACAGCTACCAAAAATTTAAAAAGGAAGTAAATTCAACAGTATAATTGCTCTTAATTTGTAAAATGCGTGTGTGAATATTTTACCAAACCAAAAAATAAATAGAAAAAATTATTGCTGCCACTTTTCTCTTTAAATGGCTTCTTCACAAGTAGAATTACAAGAATCTGAATCACCAGTTGGCACATATATCTCCTCAGCTACCTTTGTTGGAAGTTTAAAACCTTAATGCAGAATGAAAATACCAAGGCAAAGAAGACAGTGAAGCCAACCAAAACAGCAGCTACTGGCCCCATGAAATTCAATTCAAACCCAAAATGGTTTTGCACATACCACTTGATGGTAGGATCTGGTTCAATTCCAGGCACCTTGATGGTGTCCTCCAAGTCACCATATTGTGACACAATGAGTCCATAAACAGTCCATGCCACAGGGCAAATCCAGTAATACCATATCCACCACTTGGGGATTCTCTGAAATTCACAAGTAATCGAGTTTTATTAATATGTTGTGCCGATTCAATCATACATATGCTTGTAGATATATGCCTATGTTAAAAAATGAATGAACTTACCAGTCTGGGGATGAAGAAGCCAGAGAAGAGGGTGAAGAGTGCATAAAACATGGATGCCAAGATGGCAGCTACTTCATGGTTTGGCGTGATTGAAACCATCATCATTCCGTAGTATGTGAAGTAGAGGAAGGAGAAGAAGGAGATGAAGAAGAACCAGAGAAACTTTGCTAGTGTCCATTGGAAGCTCACCATCGCATAAACTATGAGTGAATAGTAGGTAGTTTGAATAAATACATATGGTATCTCAGCAATCACCTGCACAAATAACCCAAAGGCTAAAGCTAGTTAATTAACTGAAACAAAGGTATATATATACTAGTTTCTGATTTTTTACCACTTAATAATTTAAGCAATGTGGGTTAATGATCCTCATTATCACCTGTGCCATGGCATATGGTAAAGCAGAATACATCCCAGCTGCTCTTTCTCGATAAAAGACTGTTCTTTCAGTGTCAACGACTGGCTGCACGGTTGAGCAGTTGTTGATTCCAATGAACAAGACCGCAACGTACATGGCTCCAATGATCATGGTTAAATCAGTTGAATTTTCCCTGAAACATTAAAATTCAAGGAAAATTGAGTCACCCGAAAAGGGAGGAGAGAAAATTGTGACAGCTGATGTTAGGAATTAGTGACTGACCTTTTGGTGCCAACCTGCCAGAAGATTGTGCCAAGCACAAGAGCAGCTGCCAAGGAAAAAAAGAATCGAACAAGGTTATAACCAGGACTTCTCCAGTAAGTCCACCATTGCTTCCAAAGGCAGGATTTGAACTGCCCCCATGTGGACTGAGAGTACTGTGTAGGAAAGTGAAGGTCTTCTGCATCTTTGGGTGGTGTGCCCAATTCCTTTACAAGTTCCTTGTTTTGCCTGCCCATTTCATTTCAAATTAGCTCAAGACACATTTTGTATCTGTCAATACTAATATAATTTATAGTTTACACTTACTGATACAAGGATGATGATTTGTAGTGTTCGCCAAAATCAATTCCTAGACGGACTTCTGTTGCAGCAGAGCTTGCTTCAAGCATCCATGCTGCTGGATTGTAATTTTCTCTTATTTTATGAACCCCGGAAATTGCCTGCAATAATCATCGATCATAGTGGGATGAGGTATGTTTATTTACATTCTGTTAACTATTAAGACCATTAAGAAATTTGGTTGCAAATGATAATTACCTCAAAATATTCAACGACATTGTGAGAATTCAGACCCAAAGGTCCTGAGTAGATAACTTGTCCTCCTCTTTTCAGTAGTAGCAGCTGGTAAATAATAATGTTAGTATGAGAGAAAGAGAGAGAAAGAGAGAGAGAGAGAGAGTATTACCTCGTCGAAGGATTCAAATATATCAATGCTAGGCTGATGAATTGTGCAGACAACAGTTCTTCCAGTGTCCACTGTGTTTCTCACAGTCCTCATGACAATGGCCGCTGCCCTTGCATCAAGACCTGAAGTTGGTTCGTCCATAAATATGACGGAAGGATTAGCCACGAGCTCAACTGCTATTGTCAACCTCTTCCTTTGTTCTGTTGACAAGCCAGTTATTCCTGGAAGCCCAACTATTGCATTCTTGAGAGAGTCGAGCTCAACTAGTTCCATCACTTCATCAACAAAGTTCTAAAACAAAAATCCAAGGTTAACGTGGTGATGATACTTGACCTTTCCTAAATCAAATTGAACTTCGAACAAGCCATAAGATTTTTTCGAGTCTTACCATCTTTTCTTCATCATCAACTTCTTTCGGGAGCCGGAGGAAAGCCGAGTAGATTAGGGATTCTTTGACTGTCACCTGGGGAGAGTGAATATCATTTTGCTCACAGTAACCTGAAATTCTTGCAAAGGTTTCTTGTTTCTTTGGGAACCCAGAGATTCTAATATCGCCTTCAATGAAGCCCCCAGTTTTTCTTCCAGCAAGAACATCCATCAGTGTTGTCTTTCCAGCCCCACTAACTCCCATTAAAGCCGTTAAGACTCCTGGTCTAAATGCTCCAGTGACATCTCGCAGCAACTGTAGTCTGTCCTCTGTAATTCCTTGTTCCTTCATTTCCTGTTTAAACCAGTAGAGTTAGAGAAGAGGTGGACACAATTACCATTACTTGGCTCTATATCACAAAAGTGAAATCTAAAGATTGTAAATCAAGGTTAAAGGGAATAATAGACACTCACCTTAGGCATGTCCACATAATAAGTTACACTGTCAAAGGACATGGACAGTGGTTTGAATTCTAGTATCATTCCTCTCCTGGTAGCAACCCCATCAGAAGCTTGAATGCTAGCTTCATTGGCACCCGACTGGTTATTTACTTGCCGAACTGTCATTTCTCCTCAAAGATTAAAATCCATGTCAACAAATTTGAAAAACTCCTATTTTGTTCCATAAATCTTAATTAGATTAAGCGATGTAAAACTTCTTACTTGAATTGTTTCCATCGGTGTTGGTATATCGCTTTGATCTGTTTCCAGGTTCTTGCTTTTTCTTCACGCCATGGTTGGATGGTACCTCATTTGCAGCTTCTTCAGAAATTATAGCTTGAGGCTTCCCAACAGCTATCATAAGGGGAAAAAAATTAATAAATAATAAATAATAAATTCATGTCTCAACTAAGAGAACGTATGGTCCCAATTTCAACCTTGTATTGTAAGGTAAATTAGAATCCAGACAAAACAGGTTCTTTAGACTTACGATTTAGGTACATGAGCGATACAGTGAATAGAACGTTGAGGATAATGGTGAACCCGAAAAGCGCCACTACCCCAATCCAATACCAATATTTTTTTGGGACGACACCGAAGTTCTCTAGTACTGCCACACCCAACTGCGTAGCATTGTCTGGTGCCTGGAATTAATGCAGTCGCGATCTTTTAATAATTTGTTTTCTTGTAATATTACAAACTAATATTCTCTTACATTTATCATTTCTCTCAACCATATTGTCTATGATTACGCTAATGATATCCATTATGTGAATGTATTACTCCATTTTTTTTTACTCCTCTTTTCTTTGCTTGATTGATTATAGGACCTATTATCATCAAACAAAAGGCAATACTTATCTAAATAACATACCAATTTGTTCATCCACCTTGGTGAAAGCATCTCATTGACTGTCATGGCATTAAAACCATAAAATAGAGGTGAAACCCAGTGAGCCCACTTCCACCATATTGGGATTTGGCCTGTTACTCCAGAAGCAATACATGAGCAAATTATAAATATAAAGAAATAACAGAATATGGAGAGGCTTTTATAAATCACTTCCTCGTGTAAAATTAAGTGAAAAAAAAAAAAAAAAAAAAAAAAAAAAAAAAAAAACAGAAAAAAAGTAATTATGCTGATGAGAAGTTGAACATGGTGCCAACATAAAAAATCGAAGTACTGTCAACCTGAGAATCGAATAATTCAAAAAAGAAGCAGTTTTTATCATGGTAGTACTACTTGTCAAGTTGTCACAAACTATAGACATTTTAATTTATAAGATTGCTAATAATGATCCATGTATAAGACCTTGTGGAAGGATGAAACCTCCTAGCAGAAACACGAGGAGAAGAGAAAGCGCTCCCCCGGTGTGAGCAATGATCATGCTCCTACACACTCCTGCAATGACCCTAAATATTCCAGCAGCCATTTGTTGGATTAAAAACACTAGTAGTAGTTGCTTGCAAAATCTGAACAGACAAGAGAGAGAGAGAGAGAGAGAAAAAAAAAAAAAAAAAAGAGAAGAAGAAGAAGAAAAGGGAGGGGTCAGAGTAAATTATCACTTTTCTATTTACATAAAGGATTGCCTAAAAAGTATGTAATAACATTTCTTGCAAAAACAACTTTAATTAAACTTACCTGCTAGCTTCTGGTGCAAATCCAACTGTGTAGTACATCACGACAGTCCAAACTATGGACTCCAAAGCTGATATTGGGATCCTGAGCAAGAAATTGGGGATAGTAAAAGCCCAAGCCGGCTGTAAGAGAAGGTCCCTATGCTTGTAGAACACGGGCAGCCTAGTGACGGTGAGAGATAGCTCTGCGAAACCATTGAACATGTTTACGATCATGGAGAATATGATCGCACCAATATAGAGTGCCCCGTCATTGTATGTGACATCAAGGGTGGTCCTTAGGAACACCGTTGATGTTATGAGCGCCACGATGAAGATCTGGACGGTCTTGAAGATGTAGACGAATGAGTGTCTCTTGATCAAGAGCAATTCTTTGTCAAATGAGGCTCTGAGGAGCTCCATTTTTGGGATAGTATATTTTGAAAAGACAAGAGCTGCTTGGTGATTTCTGTCTTTATCATAGGGGATCAAGAGCTCATTCTCAAGCTGCAGGCCGACATGGAAGGCCTTGAACCGGCTTACAAACTCTGTAACTGATATGTAATGGTAAGGTATGCTCCTGTCTGCCCAGTATTGCTCTTGATCCTTCTTTGAGATGACCTGTAACAGTTTGAAATATAGATACACTTTAGTTATAGTAATATTTTATAGTTTTGGAGGTTGTTGCTAACGTGGTATCAGACTAAGGATGTATGTTCAAAGGCGATCTCATTTGATGATCAACTGACCATTGAAATTATTGGCATGCATAATGACAATAATATAAATGTCTTAACATTTACCAGTCACGGGAAATTATTACATATGATTCTCCATATTCAAATTCAAAGGTTTCATAAGGAGTCCCAGAGAGTTGAATCACCTCAGGACTTGTTTAGGGTTGCAATTGAGTTAGCGAACTGAGCCGAGCTGAGGTTGAACTTGTTTAGGTTCGGTTTACTTATTTAGGCTCAACTCAAATTCGGCACAAACTTGTAACGAGCTTCGATGTGGGTTATTTTCGAGCTCCTAATCTAGCAACAAACCCACATGAACTTATCCAAAAATTTGTAATCTACCCCCATCCCATAAAGGCTCTGATTGTATCGTAAGTGAAGTATTCAATTATAGGGTGATTAGGGTTTGGACAAGGGCATCAACTCTTTAGGGAATGAAATTTCAACTTCATAATGTATTAAATTTGTTTTCCCCTTCTCCTAGTATTACCCTCAATGTGGACTGTCGCACTTAAATTTGCACATGTCCAAACCACTGATTTTTTCTCATTTTATCTCCGATTAATATATTTTTTTTTTGATAAGTAATCTCCGATTAATGTTACTCCAACTATCTTACGAATATGGTCATTTCTACTTCTATATTTTCAAGTCTTACCGCACATCCATCTCAACATTTGCATTTCTGCCACACTCGCATGGGATCATAAAATTGACCCAAAGACATTTTAGTCAATAGAAAATGGTAAAATAGGGATTTCATAACTGATTTGTCTCGTGAAATACACGTGATGTCAACTTTTTTTAACATTCAGCAAAAGGATTGCAAATTTTTGGATTAGTTTAAGAAAGTTTGCTGCCAAATTAAAAGAAAATGGAGGCAAATGGCAAATTTCATCCTTCTAGTTTACCTCTTGCAAGAAGTCAGCAATGCCCTTTCTCTGTGGACACCTGAATCCACAGCTTTCAAAGAACTCAAGTGCGTGCTCCCGTGGACCCTGGTACACAATCTGACCCTCTGATAGAAGGATGATGTCATCAAACAGATTGAACATCTCAGGAGCCGGTTGGAGTAGGGACATCAAGATGGTGGCATCGGTCAGGTGCGCAATCTGCTGCATGCACTTCACTATCTGGTATGTGGTGGAGCTATCGAGGCCAGTTGATATCTCATCCATGAACCAAGCCTTTGTTGGTCCCACAATCATCTCCCCTGTATCAACCACATCAAAACATCATAAGGCCAATATAGTTTTATATATATATATATATATATACTACACTTTTTATGTATATATGTATTTTAGAGAGTGTTGTGTATTATTACCTGTTGTTACTCGTTTCTTTTGTCCACCAGATATTCCTCGTTGCATCTGATCTCCAACTATTGTGTCCTTACATATATCGAGACCCAATAGCTATTCAAATTCAACATTTTTCAGTAAGCAATTGGTTCGAAGGTCATAAAATAAACAAATAAATGATCACTTATCAAGCAAACAAATATTTTTACCAAAAACATTGTTTCTCATAAATTTATCTAACTGATGCCGGAATTTTCAAATAAAAAATGAAATTTTGAACAACTTTTCCCAAGAAAAAAGTTAAGAAAATACTCGATAATTCTTTGTTCCAATAGGTATAAAAATTGGACAATCAAAGTTCAAATTACAAAACCTATTGGACTTTGATATGATGACAAAAATGTTTTGTAAGTATCCAAACTGTCCATAGTAGCACCTTCAAAATAAGAAATAAGTTGTTATCATACATTCCTTTTATGAAAATCTATAACAATATATTCTTCTAGAAAAACAAGCATTATTGATTCTCAATTTCATATTTCTTCATTTACTTTATTCATGGCTGTGAAGATTTTGGAGTTTGTTGGGTTGAAGACAAAAAGTTTCTCACCTTGAGTGTGTAATCAGTTATGAGGCTGCTCTTGGCTCCCTCCACAGCAATTGCCTGTTCAAAAAGATACACATCAAAATATAGTCAAAGCATTGAGTTCGCATTTATAAAATTTGTCATTCATTTTTTTCTTTTGTTTTGACATAAGCACACACACATGCATCTATACCTTCATGAAAAGATCAACAACTGCATCAGGGTATATACCAGCATCCTTCTCCTTTTTTGCTAGCTCGTTTAGGAGTTCTGGAATTTCACCATCCAGCAATCTCAGTTATTAAAATCAATACAAATTCAGATAGATTTATAAATTTTAGTTGATATAACTTAATTACCATATCGGTGCCCAACCCCTTGAAACCTTGCCGAAAAATCTAGGGTTTCTTTGACGGTAAGAACTCCAATGTGGACATCATTTTGGCTAATGTATGCCGATGTCTTCCTTGGTACAAATTCATTTCGTCGATGTCCATTGTAAGTGACTTCTCCTCTTACCTGAATCACATACAAGATGTCGTTGCTATTATTTTAGTTACTTTTATCAGAATTACAACATTTATAAGTCATTGTTTAGTGCAGTGATAAAAAGTCCAGGTCATAAAGTGTGTGAACATATAATCAAGTTTAAGGACAGTCATTTTGTATAAATAATGTCAAAGATTTTATATCATATCCAATCTGTCAAGTCCTATTGAATTCAAATGAATTAATAAATCATATGAAATGCTGAGATTGATTTACCCTTAGACTTGGGTCCAACTTTCCAGCCAGTGCCAACAAAAGGGTCGTCTTGCCGGATGAGGGAGGACCCAATAAAAGGGTCATCCTGTGATAAGAAAGATAATCATTATCCTTGTAACCAACCACATCCAAAAAAATAATAATAAAAGCAACTTTGGTATATTAAGTTAATGATTTATATGATTTACCTCGATGGCTTTATTATCCCAGATACAGCCCTGAGGATTTTATGTTTTGTTCTCTGAGTCAATGTGATTTTGAGCAAACCCAATGCTGATTCAACTATGTTTCTTGCAGTGTTTAGAAGTGTTGGAAGAGCTCTGGTACCAACATAGCAATCGGCTTCGATTTGTAAGTGCTCAAATCTAACTTCTATAGTGGGAAGTTGGATCCCAGCCCTGGAAAAAAGAAAAGTAATAGAATTACTTATAATAAAAAATAAAATAAAATTAAAAAATAAAAATAAGGGGTAACAGAAACAGTAATGGTCAAAATACCCATGATGAGATAATGCTAACAACAAACAATGACATAGCATTGTTTTTACTTCTTGTCCAAATGAGTAAATCTGGTATTTTTTAGTGATATTCTAGTAATTGTTAATTGCTAGATGAGATTGGTCAATGCAGCAAGCAATGGTAAAGTATGTTATATGAATTATTCTAAAAGCTAAAGAATTTTGTATGTCTATGGATACAAGATATGTGTTTGAGCATGCGTATCGGATAATTCAAGTACAATATAATTATACTAATATCCCTTGAGGTAATGGTGTATTGCCTAATTACCAGCATGTGCATATTTTGCCAATACCTACAGTAAGACCCCCTAAGGTTTGGCACCTGATTTCTACCAACCCTCTACCGTCATCCAACCATTTGGACGGTACACAGACACCGCGTGAAAAGACCCTTTTACCCCCTCTTCGCTTAATGAAAACACATGTTTAACCTTAACAAATAAGTTGAAAAGACCAACTTACTTTATTTTTACTTTTTGAATGGAGCAAAACTACCCCTTTTATCTCTTTAACTTGGAAACTATATAGCAGCAACAACTGGAGCAATATATATCATCTCATTTCTTGCGTTTTGTTTTGAAGAGCAATCAAGCTGAAGTAAGTTCAATGTTCAGCTAATAAGGTAGAAACTCATTGGTGGTTTGATATTTAACAAATAATGGTCATGCACATAATCACCAATGAAGAAATTGGGATGGAGTGCCAACTGAATCAATCTCATGCTCTCGGCAAGACGACAACTTAAGCTGAAAGTTTTACCTATCAGTAGACAATTCATCCTGATTACGAGAGACGAGAAGAAATAAAAATGCAGAGGTGACATGGAAGCAAATTGGGCTTGGTAAGTCTATTTGGATGTTCCTAAAGAATCATTCAAACAATAAAATAAATTGAGTATAATGCATAAACAATAAAATAAATAGGCTCTGAAGTCTATTGGGAACTTGGGACTCGTCAATCAGGCATCAATGTGCATGTGCAGCCAACCACAACACCAATAAATATGTCATTCACACACTAATGTTTAAGAATTGCACAAAACTGAATCAAATAAGGATCCATGGAGAGTGATTATAGGGCAGTATCATGTGAAAATATTGGAGAATTACGGCAAAAAATTAGATAATAAATTAAAAATAAAAATAAATTAATACAACATTAAGGTCAAATTCAACAATGAGAGTAAAGATGATGCATAATACATGAATCTTCAAAAGAAGGGTCTTTGGATGTCCTTGAGAAGGAACCATAATCAGCCATGAAGTCCAGAACGGTAACAAAGAAGCAAATGGGCTCTATGAATTCTGCATTTTTGTCAATGGTGGCCTTCTGTTTCGCCATTTCTTCAACTTTCTTCATCGTTGGCTCACTCTGGTAGGCAAGGGCAACCAATAGGCCTTTGATCTACTTTGGGTTTGGATTAAAGAGAGAAATGGTGGTGGGTTGACCAGAGGGGAGAAAGTGTACAGGTACCTACTGTGCAGTACTCAGTCAACCAACAAGTCAAGTCTGATTACTAGTATAGTTTGTAGCCGAGTATTTTTTACACCACCTCATGTGACATATTTATCCTCGATCGAAAAGAACCTAATAATCAAAACTCAAAAGTTTTAGGGTATTATTGGTTAGTACTTTTCTTACGTATTTTTTATTTTTATGAAGTATATTTGCTAATATTTACTGTGATTTGAATGGTAAGAAAGTGTTTTAAATTTTTTTTTTTTTTAAACAATATTTTTGTGTTTTTGGCCCCAATTTTTGAAACTCTCAGTACTATTCAAATGACAATAAATATTACCAAACATGTTTCGTGCTTTTGCTATAGTAAATTTTTTTTAACAGTGTTTTGATACAATGTGAAAACAAACAAAAGTTACCAAACATACTTTGTACTTTTGTTTTGTTGTAGTACACTAACAAAAGTAAAAAAACACAAAGAGAAGCTTTAATTCCAATATGTGTTACAAATTCAAGAGAAGCTTCAATTCCAATATGACGATTTTGTTTGCTTTCGCATTGTAGCAAAACACATTTGAAAAAAAAAAATTCTTTTCAAAATTAATATTTTTAACTAGTCATTCAAATTTTCAAACTTGTAACACTTTTTACCAAACATATTTTCATATTTTTGCTTTCAAAAATCTTGCAACAAATTTACGTTACCAAACAAGTTTTGAAGTAATGTAAAATACACTCTGAAGTATAAATATTGTTTCTACTTTGAGTCAAAGCAAAAGCACAAAGAAACTGTGGTTGCCAAACAAGCCTTTAGTTTGTCGCTTCCGTTGCACTGAATTCCATAATTTAATTTTGAAATCGCATTTTTAGTTCTATAGAAAAATGTTTGAATATTTTGACATTTTTGTTGAATATTCAAATGAAATCAGATTCTTCTTAAAATTAATATTTATCTTAGTTTAATCACTGTGGTCTACGTTTTTCCTGTAATTTTTTGATACGGTGCCAAATTAACTGTTTTTAGGTTTCTTTTACTAGTATAAAGATAAGAGCATAATTCATTCAATAATTAATAATATTATGAAATTCTTTCTTAAACTTTTTGAATTTAAAGTTATTTTGTGTTTAAGTTTAAGCAAGATAACTGTGAAATATCACTAATAAATGAAATTTGCTCTTGCAATGTTTTACAGTATATTAGTAAAGAAATCCAAAAACAGATGGAATCCCTAAAACAGTCTAATTTGACACTAGTTTTAAAAATTACGAAAGAATTGGAGATACGTTATAGAAGAGTGATGCAAGGGCAAGTCTTGATACGGTAGTATATGGAATTCACAACGTATTTGTAAAAATGACTGCTCACTCTTACAGAGTACACAAAGGGTAGAATTTAGGGATGAAGTGCAGCTTCTGTTCAGGGTTGGCCGTGGGCGTACATATTTCTTTTCTTCTATAAAAGATCTTACTTATAAAAAAGAAATAGTCATGTGCATAGCAATGGCATAGGTTGATGAATTAATTAGATTGTTGATATTTATAAATAGTTGTAAATTATAATTACTATTAGACTATTTAGAAAAAAACCAATCTATAAAATCAATCCAGTCTTTGTACAAATGAATTATTTTAGTTGAGAGGTTCTCAACAATTCAACTCCGTTTTAATTTTCATGAAATTTAGGCAAGAATGTAATTTTGCTAGAAAAAATTGTTAGAGGTGTAATTTCAAAATACGTGCATATAATTAGGCCTTAGCCAATTACCCTAACAAAATATCAAAGGATCAACTTAGCCAATTACCCTAACAAAATATCAAAGAATCAAGTGGCCAAACCCTTCTCTCCTTAGGGTTCGAGCCTCAATAAAGAACATGATGCTTGAGTAAATAACTTTCATTTCTAAAAAATAAATAAATAAATTACCCTAACGAATTCCTTGTATTTTGTCAAATGAACGAATTGTTCATATTAAACTTCCTTTGTAAGAAAAATTAAAAATTAAAACCATTCCACTTATTTCAAGAGTCATAAATATTTGACATATTAGATACTTCGAAATTTATCCACTGACATAACTAAATATAAACATTGAATTCGATTACGTTTGACCTTTAATTACTAAATGTACCAATTAAGGCACGTTGAATTAACTTATATATATAATTTTTATTCAAGTCCCATTAATTGCTAATTAGTTTTTCAAATAAAATAAAATGAAAAAACGAGGTCTAGCCCATTAAATTGGTAAAACTACTATATATGAAAATGAGAGGTGCATATAAGAATTTCAATTTTATTTGTCAAACAAAATATATATATATATGCACACATATCCGATTAAACGTATTGAAAGGTAAAAAAAAAAAAAAAAAAAAAAAAAAAAAAAAAAAAAAAAAAAAAAAAGCCAATATAGAAAGAGTCTAAACAATATTAAGAAAGAAACATTTTTACCTAAAAAAAAATATATTAAGAAAGAAACATACTTATCAATACGGTCTCTCAACTTTGTCAAGAACTTGTCATTGTCTTCCTCAGCAACCATGAAATTGGTCTCGATGAATCTATTCCGGTCACCGGGTTCGAGCTTTCGAACATCGACCTCTTTGTATTCCATCTTACTCAAGTGGTTTTCTCTGCTACTCTCTGTAGTAGTATCATCACAATACTGCAAAATAGTTCTTCTTAACCTATCATATGTTGGCAGTTTCTCTAAAGCAACCCATCTTAGAGCCTCTTCATCATCTTCCATCTTTCACTACTTCGAGAAATCTATATATCTATAGCTTTCTTTGTAATGTATAAGTGCATATAATCATATATATATATATATATATATATATATATATATATATATATGTTTATGTATGTGGAGATGTCTTTTTCTTTGTTATGTATGTAGAGTTGTTACCATGAAACACTACTTAACCTAGAATATAGTATTAGGGAACGTATAGAGAATGAACAACAAATGAAGTTTATTGGGATTAAAACTCCTAAAATTTAGATATTAAAAAGAAAAGAAAAAATAAAAATAAATAAAAAAAAACATATGAATTTTTAGTTGTGTTGTGACTTGTGAGGAATCCTAATGTGAAATAAATGCTATAATAATTAAAAATATATATATTAGAATTAATATAAATTAAATAGCATTGTTGTGGTTTCTAGAAAGAAATTGAGGGTACGTGGTTTGTTACTAAGTTGCAAGGAGAGCTAGGTATGCGGAACATGCAAAGATGGTGAACTTCGTACAAAACAACAAATCTTTAAAGAAAGTGTTTTCAAGAGAAATTATTAGGTTATTCGGTACCCACTGCACACCCCTTCATTTGTGCGTCCCGGCCAATCCTTGGCTCCCATGTCAACTCTTATGTCAATATGCAAATAAAAGCAAATTAACATAAGGAAAATGATATTTATGGTGGAGGAATTTGGCCAATTTGTTAGGCAGAATCCTGTATGTCTGTCCAGCTGGCAAAAAAAATTCGCCCCTCTATGGCCAGACAACGACAAGGCAACGTATGATTCTGTGCCTTTTTAGGTCTTCATTGTCCCCCTTCTCTCTTTCTCTCTCCTGCTTCATCCACTTATAGTATGATCCAGTTTTCTGCTTATAGTATGATCCAGGTGCAAGCAACAGTGGCCGTCGTTGGGTGGTGTTGGTGCGAACAACGGTGGCCAGTTTTCACCCAACAGATCTCTCTTCCAAAGCTATAACTATTGGATGATCATTTAATTTCACAGTGGCCAGAACACTCGAGGTTGACACCGACGAAAAACCTCACCAACGCTAAATCAGTTCTCTGGGGATGCACCGGTGGTGCAATGAGCGTGGGTGAAGTGGAGGAGAGGACGTTGGTGTTGTTCTTGGTGGGAATCATCGCCGATGGATATATAGGACGTCAGCGTTGGTTTTGCTTCCTTGATGATTTTGGTCACCGGAGATTCGCTTGCCGGGGAGTGATGATGGCTGCAAGCGCATAAATGGGACTGGTCCGGCACCTAATAGTGTGTGAAACGTAATCGCCTCTCTCTTCCTCCTACTGCTTTTCAACCCACCACATTCTCCATAATTTCCTTATCCCCATCTAAAGCAGTAATCAAATCACCATCCACCTCTACTTCCTCATTCTCTTTGCCTTCACACTCCACCAATTCTCCTTCCTTATGATTATTAGAACCATCCACTTTCCTATTAGATGATACAGGTGTGGATGTGGTCCAGCCACGTCACCGAGGGCCAAGTCAAACAGTCAACACTTTGACAAAGTCCACCTCAGCAAGGCATGTGATAGTCGATCACTGGGCCTCAATCTTAGCCCTACATTCGGTCGATGGGCCTTGAACCTCGATGTGATAGTCACAAATCATCGATTAAAACCTTGATCTGAGTCACAAATTGTCGATTGACGGGCCTTGAACCTCGATCTGACCTTTTGACAATTTGTCGGTCGATGGACCTTGAACCTCGATCTGTTAATCATAAATCATCGATCAACAGGCCTTGAACCTTGATTTAAGTCACAAGTTGTCGATCGACGGGCCTTGAACCTCGATCTGACCCTTTGACAATCTGTCGATCGACGGGCCTTGAACCTCGATCTGACCCTTTGACAATCTGTCGATCGACGGGCCTTGAACCTCGATCTGGCCCTTTCACAATCTGTCGATCGACAGACCTTGAACCTCGATTTGACCCTTTCACAATCTGTCGATCGATGGGCCTTGAACCTTGATCTGACCCTTTCACAATCTGTCTATCGACGGGCCTAGAACCTCGATCTGACCATTTTTTACAATCTGTCGATCGACAGGCCTTGAACCTCAATCTGACACTGCCATAAACCATCAATCGGTGGGCGTCGAACCTCGATCCAAGCAACGAAGAGTTATGGTAGGGCTCTTCAAGCGACATTGGGACGCAGAAGGGATTTTGGAATGGAGGATGGAAAATTAGTAATGTCTTGCCCACTAAGGCAAGACCCAGTCTAAGGATAAGAGCAAAAGACAGCTGGAATAGTACAATTGCCTTTACAGCCTGCTATTTTTGGATTATTCAC